TTGAGTGATGATAGATTGTAAGGGAAGGAAATGAAACACGTTTATAATGAAGATGTGATAAGATTAAGGGATGATAAGAAAGGGGTTGAAAATATAAACAAAGGGTGGTGTAGAAGTCATTAGTTGTTTATGTTTTACGAGTTGATCACAGACTGATATCAGTTAGAGAACCATTGAAAACCAGGGAGTACTGGACAACTGCTGTTTCATCCTAGTTTGGGAATCATCGCCAGTACGCACCCACTAATCCTTACAAACTAAAAACTATAGAAAAAGTTGTTTATGTCTTAATAGTCCAAAGGAGGGATAATGGCTGTACGAACATTTTCGCATCATCACATGAAACACGTGTAAAAATTTAGATATCACTGAGTTTGTTTTTTAAATTTAAGACAAATTCTTTTATAAATAGCTTGTTTTCCTACCTAAGAAAATTCGAGAGAGGATAAGTTATTCTGAAAAAATGACTTTATGCCGATTTTTTGCAATTTTTTTTAACTTTAAGCATAGACAGAAGGTTAATCGATTGCTAAATATACTACTTACTGATTGATATGAGTAGCTAAATAATACTGACATCAAATAGTAGTGCCAGCCAATCACACTGCAGTAGTCTAAATACAGAGGGGCTGTTTCGCTCGTTTGAGGCTGAGCTCATCAGCCATCTACCCGATTGGAATCAGTTCAAACCGCGCAATTTTCGGCTAGCTACTTTGGCAGGCTGATAATTCACAGTTAGATTTAGATCGGAATATGTGGTCTGCTTGATATCATAAGTGTAAGTCAAGAAAGCAAGAATAAATGCATGATACTATATGACACTGATTGACTGACATGTGTTGTTGAAGGTTTATTGGAAATATGTTGACAATATCGTGACTTTGTATCTCAAACAAACTACAGACCTTCATTAACAGTTGCCTTCGCTCAATACCACTCAAGATCAGATGGCCGGCCAGAAAAGATCAGCAACAGGGAGGGATCTCTGGGAGCGAACCAACTCAGCAGGAACCGATCGTGAAACAAATAGGCAGGAAGAAATGGAGATGGATTGGCTGGCCATACTCTGAGGAAACAAACCATCAAGTGACATCACTAGACAAGCCATTGCTCGAGTGGAACCCGACTGTATTGGAAGCGGCGAGTTGGTCGTCGGTGCGAGGGTGGATGACTTGGCGAAGGTCATGTAAAGATGAGATGAAAGCGTGTGGGCAAACTTGGAGCCAGGTGAAGACTGTAGCAGAGAAGCGAACGCAATGGAGACACACGGCTGAATCCCTATGTTCCTGTAGGAATTAAAGGAAACAATAATGATAATCGTAACTTTAGTGAAATGGTGACCTCGTAGCTTAGCTAGTAGATCGCCTGGCTGATAATTCGGACACCACTGGTCTGAATCCTGTCGTGGTTCAGATTCTCATTTTCCATTAAAAGTCACCATCCATTACATCAGCAATAGTCTGCTGACCTTTTGAGACGATTTCAGTTGGCCGCATCATCAGGAAATTTAAACGTTGGGGAAATAAATGTCTAACAACAGTTGTAATTCACTGACATATAGAAGGCATTGAATGTGGCTGAGAGTGAATTATATTGGGCCGAATCAACAGTAATTTTTTGGTATTTTTTTGACATTTGTTGGATTAAATGTTTTAAAATGTTTTTTTAAATGTTTATTTTATCTTTACTTTATTTTATTATGTTTTTTCTCGACACTTTTTGTGTTGATGTAACGTTTGACAGCCTGACTCGATTCGACTTTGTGCAAGTTTTAGGTATTGGTGTGTTAATCTGATGATTTATGGTTTTTGTTCGAGTTAAAGAAGAATGTGTAATAATAATAATAATAATATTTTGATTATGGAACCCAATGACTGGATAAATTAGGAACAGGTAGAAAGAACAAGAACAAATAAGAAAGATTGTAATCGATATACTTACCTAAAAAGGATGGAATTTGGCACTAAGCACGAAGTTGAAAATATGTGAATACCATATTTCCTTTTGTTTTAATCATTTGCAGTCTATCTAAATTACCTATAACTAATCGGTATTTGTTAAGTCTCTAGTTTGGTGGTTCGGAGTTCGATCCTCAGCCGTTGCGCTCCTACATCTCGCTAAGTCGGTAGTAGGTCGGTAAAGAGGGAATTTTTGTGTGGTGTCAGACTAACAACTCCAGCCTGTGACAATAACACTATGGATGCCGAAACTTTAAAGGTCTAGCTTGAAGCCCCATGTTCCACTTGAAATGTAATGGAGTAAATTACAAAATAAAATAAATAATTGGTATGTCAAGGTACTTCGGAATTTAGTGGATGGTATATAACTCTGTGGTCATTAGTGCCTGATGCGTTTATTTTTTTGTATGCCATGAAAATCTACTTCTGTGTGGTTAATCAGTTATCCAATTGCAGTATTATTATTATTGTTTCCTTTAGTTCCTAGAGAAACATAGGGCTTCAGCCATGCGTCTCCATTGCGTTCGGTTCTCTGCTAGAGTCTTCACCTGGCTCCATGTCTGCCCACACATTTTCATCTCATCTTCACATGACCTCCTCCAAGTCACCCACCCTCCCACTGACGACCAACTCACCGCTTCCAATACAGTCGGGTTCCACTCGAGCAATGGCTTGTCTAGTGATGTCACTTGATGCATTGTTTCCTCAGAGTATGACCAGCCAATCCATCTCCATTTCTTCCTGCCTATTTGTTTCACAATCGGTTCCTGCTGAGTTGGTTCGCTCATTGCCAGAGATCTCTGTTGCTGATGTTTTCTGGCCGGCCATCTGATCTTGAGCGAAGTATTGAGCGAAGACAACTAGCTGTTAATGAAGGTGTGTAGTTTGTTTGAGATGCTGTTTATGACGCGCAGTGCAAGTCTCTGATCCATCCGTATAGTGAGTAGCACTGAATGACTTCACATTGCAGTTGTAAATCCGGATCTTATCTTCGTTTTGATGCTGAGTAGGGCTGTTGACCTCCACAGAGACTTGAGAGTAGTGAAAGCTTGTCTTGCTTTTCCGATTCTTGCTTTGATATCCTCGTCAGTTCCGTGTGTCTGTAGTTGAGACGATGCTTCCCAGGTCTGTTGATGAAGGAGGTTGTTTCTTTCAGGTTCATTCCATTTATGCTGATCGTTGTCTGTTGTTGTTGTTGCTGTTGGTGGTGTTGCCTAGGAATCTTCATCACCTCTGTTTTCTCTATGTTCACCTGAAGGAAGTCCTATCTTCGATGCTCCTTCTTCCAATTGCATTAGTTACCACTTTTTGTACTAACTAAATTAAAGTCAACATGTTTGATTTGTGCGAGTTTTAATGTGATTTCGAAGTGAATATTGTCAGTAACCGTCATCTGTTTATTCAATCCATGAACAGTAAGGAGCAATCGATATGCTGTTCAGAAGTCTTCGTCAGCCTTTTTTTGCCAAATGTCTCATGAAACTGATGAATGTTTGTCTTAATCCTTTAAAAAACGTCATGACTTGTGTTGTATCCTTCAGAAATTAGAATAAATACTTAACAATGTCACTGGATAGTTTCGATTACATCGATTACATAGACTGATGTATTCCAGGAGTTGTACATAAGTATACTGGTCTACTGAAACAATTAATCGTGGATGTGACCTGTTGTTCGATTATGGGTATTCACTATTGAAATGTTTCACAGTGGGATAAGAAAATTGTTCACAGTCCTCTTTGTTTCTTCCAGTTGATCGTCTTCTAGATGGTGTTCATTCGTGATGAAATTTGCTTTACAAAAGGTTTACCAGTGGAAACGAAATTTTCAAAAGAATAGACACGGAACAAAGAGTACTCTTTTCAATAACTTCATCATCAGGTTCTACAGTTATATATACATTATAATGAATGAATGAATTAGTCTTATGAACGACAATAATGTTGCTGTTTAAATAACATCAAATCAATAATATTGATAGATTACAGCTGAACAGCATCAACATAAAATAAGCTGAATGTCAGAAGAATTATGAAAGATAATAGTACAAATTCATGAGTTTATAGTTTCAACTGAAGGCCTGCCAGGGCAGTAGTAGGGGCTGGACTTGTTTCTTTTGGACACAGAGCACTGGTTGTTTGAGGTGAATTGCAATAGCCTGTGCTGTTTGGAGCATGAGGTGCTTCGACGATTTTGGTAGTTTGTTAGGCACCCGGTATATTATAGAGAAGGATTCTTCCACGCTGGATGGTTTTGTGACCGGTTTGCACCAGATGGTCTAATATCGAGCTGTTAATGGTTTTAACTACACCTTTACTTAGCCATAGTGGGATATGTTCTCGAGCGAGCACGAAAAATCAAGTTCCTAGAGCAACGGCCAATATAACTCGCTCCACCACAATCGCAGTTGAATTGATAGATACAATTTGAAGTGGCTAGCTAGTCTAGGTACTTCATCTTTCGGTCGAGGTAGCACCATCGGTCGTGTGGAGAATAATACGTGTAGTTCGCCAGGATTAAAAGTTCTTTGAACTGATTTTCCTTAATCTCCTCGTAATTATCTCACTTGGTATATCGCCCATGAATCGTAGTCGTATACATAAAGTGGCTTCTTGTTTACAGACAGTGAGTAGTCGTTTTCCGCTATCTTTGTCATGTGTTTCCTGATAAATTTGTCATGATAACCATTTTCTATCAAAGTATCATATACAATGCTTAATTCATCTTCAATTACTTCCTGTGAGCATATAGCTCTAACTCTGTTGCTGAGGGTCTTCACTAAATTCCTTTTGTACTGGAGAGGAACGAAGCTGTGAAAATGTGTGTATATTGTCCTGTCCAAGTGCTTTTTCTATGCAAATTTCTTTTTATGCTAACGAAATTATTTATATACAAATGTTTTTGGTTGGGTTACACAATCTAGACATAGAATACATATGAGGTGAGTGATATGATTTAAACTAGCATAGTTTTGTACCTTCCTGACAGGCGGTTTGTGCTTTAAACTAAGTGTTCTTCTTTTTCATCCTATATCCTTTTCAGATCTGTTAATGTCTTCCTCCACAAATCAAGAAGACAATGGTGATAACGATGGTGATGATGATGATGTTGGTGAAAGACAACGTAAATCAGTAGTGACTGAATGCAGCAGTAATGCTGTACAGGCGAGACAATTATTTTCTAATCGTATACTCACTGAAATTTATCATCGTATTAAAGCGAGACCACTACTAACCGGTGCTGATCAAACAGATACTGTCCGACGTATATCAAAAGCAATAGGAAATTTAAATCAAGTGAAAATTCTACCGCATAAATCTACTACAAATATTTTTGAATTGGTTGATACACATCGTAGATTAGTGTGTTACTGTACTGTTATTCATGTATGTCAGTTGGATGGTGATGTTTTTTGTTTAAATTTTTATTTAAAAATTATTTCAGGATTTTATTATGCACCGGTTAAAGAACCATTGGAAAACCTGAAAGTAGTACTGGCCAACCAGCTGTTTCGTCCTAGTTTGGGACTCTTCGACAGTGCACACACTCACTGAGGATCGAACCAAGGATCTTCCAGTTACAAAGCAAGCTCTTTTATCATTGGGCCACTGAGACCCCATCCAACGGTTCATGGATCCCAACCTCTGCCAATTCCTGATATGGTGCGACCACTAGCGAATGCCATTGGCGAGTATTTGTCCTCACACTCGACCCTATTAAGTAGGTAGTGACCCCGTTTCTAGTGGCAGTCCGTGACTAGTGGGGTACTGAAGGTCGAATCTGAGGACAAATACTCACTCGCTAGTGGTCACGCCATATCAGGAATTGGCAGAAGTTGGAATCCATGGACCATTGGATAGAGTCCTAGTGGTTCAATGGTATACGAACTCGCCTTGTAACTGGAAGATCTTGGCTCGATCCTCAATGTGTGTGTGCCGTCGAAGAGTCCTAAACTAGGACGAAACAGCTGGTTGGTCAGTACTTTCAGGTGTTCCAATGGTTCTTTAACCGATGTTAGTTCATGATGAAATCCTGAAACCGATCGAATCACTACAAAACCAGCATTTCAACAGAAATTGTTTGATTTTCTTGTCATTTAATCTTCATATTTACTCTAAGTACACCGTATTGGATTATTTTTGACCAACGTGTGCTAAAAAAGTAAGTGAGATTTAGAAAATCTGCTAATTCCTACTGAAACTCTTAGGCTGGACTAATTATCTTCGTGAGGCGTGAAGTTATGATTGATGCATGCACCTACATAACAACCTGACAACTGAACAATTTGTGACTAATTCATTCTAGAGGGTCTTCAGAGTCGTGCAGTCAGTCAGATATTGATTATCAATGTATGGTTCAAATTTCTGTTGTTATGTAAACGATATGCACACTCTGTTTTGTGAATAATAAAAGTTTTTGTTGTTGTCGTGGTTGTCGCAGTTAAATCAAACTTCTGTGTCAATATTATTGTGGGGAGTACTTCCAGGTGATCAGTTGGGTATAGTATCTTTTCTGAAGGTGCACTCTAGGCAAAATAGATAACAACCTACAATTCACTAACACACCGTTTTAAAAGAGACCGATTAGTCGACTATTCGATGTTACCTTACCTTGGCAGCATCTTTAGTATCACATGTGATACGAATAAGGATGACAAAGCCAGCCACTATTGGAAAACCCAAGACAGACCCTCATTACTTGATATCGCTGTGGAGATCTAAAGGGGTTAGCATGTGGAATAAGATCCGAATTGCCAACATTAATATCAAGTCAGTGCTCTGAGCTTACGCGTCAAGGAGGGCATTACCAGCAAGCTGTAGAATTTCATCAACACCTACTCTCTTTGCTCCCTACTGAAGATCAGCTAGCCAGTCAGAAGGGGTATGCAACAAAGAACTCTGACAGGTGGCAAACTAAGCGAAAGCCTACTGACTAAAGAAAATCGAGGTGGATTTGAAGCATGCTAAGAAGTGAGTTGAGTGACATCATGCTCCAGGTCCTCCAGTGAACATTAAATGCGAATCAATGAGTTGGACGTCTGACGGTAATGTCGATGAGATAGTAAGAGGAGAAAGTGAAAGTTTGTGGACACTATTAGGGTCAGCCAAAAAGACTCCAGAGGATGGAGAAGAATGGAGATGTACTGCTGGAGCCTTTTGTTCCTCATGCAAACCAAATGTCGAATTGTAATAATAACTGAATTGAGATCAATCAACAGAGATATTTGAAGACTGATTTTCTCAAAAGTATATTTTCGTAAGATTGAGTAGGAGGACTAAGATCATTTCTTATGTTATTCTGTGCTTTCTGCAAATAGAGTCGTTCAACATTAATCTTATCAGCACTGTAGGTGTGTCTGGCCGACTATTGATACTTCTTTGGAAAGCTAGTTTAAAACTAATTTATATTTACATGTAGGATTTCCTGATGAGGCAGTAACTCATCGAAGAAGACTTTGTAAAAAGGGTCGCGCTATGTCATGAATTGGCAGAAGTTAGAATTCAAGAACCATTGGATCGGTTCCCAGTGGCTCAATGGTGTACGAGCTTGCTAGCTTTGTAACCAGAAGGTCCTGGGTTCGAACCCTAGTAGTGGGTGCGTACTAATCAAGAGTCCCAAACTAGGACGAAACAACTGTCCAGTACTCCCAGGTTTTCTAATAGTTCTCTAACTGATGTCAGCTCATGAGGAAATCCTGTAACCGAATATGACAGTCCTTGAGTGAGTTTTATCAGTGCATTTATTAATTTCATATGTGATACATACATTCGCGGAGAAGAGCAGTAGATTTGTATTCCCACCTAATCAATACCATTACTGGAACATATTTATAATTTTTAACTATCTGTACATAGGCATCATCCTTTACCATAATATTTCATTACTGAATCTCTTCCACTGTCCTCCACGTAAATTTATTTATTGTATTAAAATGTTTAATGGGTGGATCTGCAGAAAAAAATTTATGAGCCGATCTTGTTTATTAACACCGCTATGTACTGTAGATGTGTATGGTGACTGTATAGATTGCTACATATGTCTAAGATATCTATTGTTTGCTGTTAGATGTTTGTAGACAATCGGCTAGAAATTGACTCAAGTTTTGTGTTTACTGGCATCAAGGACCACACGAAGTACACTGGTTACTCTCTAGTGATCAGTCACAATACATATCGCATGTTTGATTACCTGCTGACATAAGTTAGGAAACTACTGAAGACCCGGAGAGTACTGTAGAGCTGTTTCGTCTTAGTTTGGGACTATTCGGATGTACTCGCTTATGACCTTCTTTGGCGTCGAACCCATTTTACTTGGTCTGTTCATTGATCATCCAGCCGATCTAATTGCTCATGAGTTTCAGTTTGCATCAGTTAACGATTTATAGCTCCATCGCCTGACAGTAATTTATGTTATGGCTAGGTGGTTGAAGACAGCTGACAGGAAGCCTCACACATAGGTTTTGTGCTTGCTGACACTCATCATCAAGGCGTATCTGAAGTCCTGAAGCAAGCTATGTCTCTTCTGAGATGCAGATACGTTTCATCCAGTGCTACAGTCTCAGAGACGTTGCAGTCGAGTCATTTGAACTCGCAACTGACCTTCTGTAGGAGGCGAACTACCTAGCTTCTTGGCTGCCTTGGAAATTTGACTGATAGAATTCAAAAACTTCATGCAATTCTTCCCATTAATAAACTTGAACAAAGCAAGAACAACAATTGTAACAGAAGATAATATGAGCTCATCTTTTATTATTTCGAGGATTCTTCTCAACTGGTTACAAACTGAACGATAAAAAAATATGAATTACATTACATCAAAGATTTGAATATAATTTTCCACGATCACAAGGAGTAGTTGGTAGGAAGTAAAAGTGACACTAGTCCGGAATGATTTAACTAATTAAGAGTTACAAACACTGACTATTTATAGAACAATTCAAATGAACTGTGATCAATATTTGACAGTTTATAAATATTTATAGAATAATTAGGCAATTAGGCTTGGAAACAAAAACAGAGTTGCATATATATATATATATATATATAAGTGTGTATAGAAACAAGGTTTAGCTAGACAGAGTATAACAAAAAGGTAGATTACGTAACGAAAGAAAATGCTTTATCTAGTAGCCAATAGAAAGAAAAGGAAGAGAAAAGAACAAGAAAGGGTGAGTCATGTTTAGATGAGAGAGTAGAATTTTTTAAACAAGAATAAGGGTGACTCATAAAAGTTGTATATTTTGTTATCACCAGGGCAGTGCAAGATTCACCACTGTCTCTTTCTGCGTACATAGATTTGGTTTAAGTCGTCTGATAGCAATTGCTTCATCAGAGCGTAGCAAGTTAGGTTTCTTTTGCTTGTTGATTATTTTGAATGACTTCAAGTTGTCAACATTATGACCAGTATCTAACAGATGACGCGCAATTTCACTGTTTAATACTTGTGGACCTTTCAGTCTCAGGTTCTTTGGTATGTGTTCAGAAATGCGGACAATAACCCTTCTTTCTCTGTTCTTCCGATGTATGTGCTTTGGCACGTACATGTAAATTGGTAGACACAGTTGGAGATAACATGAGGTGGGTATTTGTCCACTTTTGATTGTCTCAAACAACTAGTTGTTTGATAAACACATACAAGCTTGGCGGCTGGATATGTTCTCCTCAGCGTAGCGTTCAGTCTGCATCTTATTCTACTAGCAATATCATTACCTTTGAATGGAAGCTGCAGAAAGATAGGCTTTTTCTCTACTGTGCTGCTTTTCACTTTTTCAACATGACGTCTCTCATACTTGTCGATGAACTTTTGTAGGTAACTGTTGTCGCCAATAGAAGAACTAGGCCCATTGCATTAGTTATCACCTTTTTCTGGTCAAAGTAATAATTTATCTATTATATTTTATTATTTCTGCTTTTTTGTGGTTTTACTTTCTAAGATTATACAAAATCAACCTCCAGAGAAAGAGACCAGGGCACTGAGACACTTATTTGTATTCAATGATTTAATTATTCTTGCTAAAGATGCCTCATCCTCCTCGTCCCCCTCCACATTATCGTCAAAACACCTCGGTGGTAGAAAATCTATCTTCGACAAATCAAAACATCGGCAGATATCAACTGATAATGTACTGTTTAGTCGGCATAAATGCAACGATGAATTCCTTCAACCCCCACTGGATTTACTTATTAACAATTTTGATGATAAACATCAACAGCTGAATAACTTACAGTCTAGTGCATTTATCTGTGCTCAACCTCCTGTTCACTGTTTGCCGTATACACGAAGGAGTCGATCAAAAAATGATATAAATACGCATAAGGCAGCATCTAGTCATTTCAATTCACATTCCTCTACACGTTTAACTGCTTTATATGCTATCTCACTGGTTCAATGTAAAATTCGTCCTTTTAAAACTGATGGTAAGTAGGAAGACTAGCGTATTTGTTTTAGTTAATTTTGCATTTCGTGTTGGTTCATCATCGTATTGGACAGGAATATTCAATCTCTGCTGGTATTTTGGTTTCTGGTACAGAGTCGTCGACTGTGTCTGAGGATTAACCTGATTTTATTTGGTGGACTATGACTGCGAGTGCAAATTCAGGATGAGGATTTCGTCCTATTTATGGCTTGTCAGATGGATGCGCCTGCAGTCCTCACTGTGATGCTATTGCCAGTGAGACTTGAACCCAGAACCCATCTTTTCGGATATCAAAGCAGGTAATTTCAGATGACGAGTCCCAAATGGAGTGAAATGAGCATCCCGGATCAAACTCATCGTCACTATGCATCAAATAACTGCTCATTGATGATTACCTTTCATCATTGACGTGTTGGCTTATATAAAGGTACGCCTCAAGTATATAGCTGATGGTTAACATGTTTATAGGTGACTAATACAGTGGAGTGCAGAATTTCCATTTAGTCCTGTTCAGAACACATTTTGATCAGAGAGATATACCCGCATTCACTAGGACGTATCTGAAAACTAAATGACTTAAAACTATTTTACACGAAAATGTAGGTTTTCAGACATTACAGAGCGAAACTGAACACATTTACACACACAATTATTCTCCATTGTGAACTTAGGCAATACGACAAAGAGGGATTTTCGAAAAAAAAAAGAAGTGAAATGGATTTTTAGTTGGACTCGTAGAACTTCGTATGTGCTAATCGTTTGCCTAGAACTGATGCAATACCAAAATATGATAAATCTTCATTGATTTCATACATTTGGTTCCCTCCTACTCAAAAGAACCTTCGTCGGATAACAAAGTCTCATATTGAATCCTCGTACAAATATCTTTCCAATCTGAAGTATCATCTGGCTACTTATGATACCTTAATAAATGAGCTAAATATTACTTGCTGGCTCAAATTCATGAACTTCGTCAAAGAATTACAGTCCAGAACTGCAAAAGAATATGAAAACCAACTGACAAAAGCATTAGTCAAGGAAAAGTTAACTGAAGACTTCTCAGAAGCACCTGAACGTTACATTTGTAATCTGTCAAATTTACAATTAAGCAAAATTGAATTAGAAGCTTTATCTTTGGGATTCAGCTTTCACGTCCCTAAAAAGCACATAAACCGTATAGATACAGAAACGCAGTTTGAATACTTATACTATCAACTTGCTGACCTGCAACCTGTGGACGAAGACAAACGAGGATGGCTGAAGTCCGAACTGGTTGATATAGCCAACCAATACTACACATCACCATCCTAAAGTACAGCAAAGAAAGAGATGCGAAAGAGATGTATCCAACAGTTGAAAAGAAGAAAGTATTCATTTGCCTCCCATACAAAGGAGAAACAATATCGAAAAAGATTGAAAAGAGGATGAAAGGAACAATAAAGAGATGCTTCCCTGCAGCCAATCTGGTGACATTATACAGTACTACATGCTCTATAAGCCAATCGAAACTGGATAAGTACCCTACTGATGTTACCTCCAACTGCATTTATAAATTTACTTGCACCTGCAGCAGCAAGTACATTTGAAGGACAGAAAGAAGGGCTTCTATCCGGTTTTCAGAGCATATTCCGAGAAACTTATGCTTAGAAGGAAGCAGATATTTACAAAGTGCAATTACCAGACACTTTGTGGATACGGGCCAATTTGTCAAGATTTCCAAATCCTTCAAAATATTAGACATACAAAGGACAGCGAATCTACTACGATTTGCTGAAGCAATTGCAATAAAACGTCTCAAACCAAACTTATGCACACAGAAAGAGAGTGTAGTCAATCTCTCACTCCCTTGGTAACCATATCACTTTCATTACAGTGATTACTCATAGACACTAGTGAGTTCAACTCACTGAGCAAGTTTTCAAATTGATGAACTTTGACCTTGTTGAGTTGACATGTTGACACTGTTTATTAGATTTTTCTGTCTTCTCCCACCCCACCTTTTCTTTCTCTATCGAAATCTTCATTGAATTCCTTGCATGAAGATGATGGTGTGATGTCATTTAAACCTTTCGAAAACCAAACGAAATAAGTTTACGGTTGTATACTGACTTGCAATGGCTCCTCTTTAACTTGATAAACTTAATTTTATAAAAAATTCAATCAAATTGTCTTCTATGGTGGTTTTGAGAGTATCATCTTATTTGGGTTAAATTCTCTACTGCCGACTGACTGAGATGAGTGATTGCATATCACTCACATCGACCAGTAGTGCTTATCAGTCAGCCAGATCAAAATGGTCTTTACAGCCGACGGGTATTTCTCTCTTTTTTGGAGCCAAGATCATCAGCGAGGTGGCTGGTTTGACTCAGCTTAGAGAGTCAAATCAATCGAAACCAACCGATTTATGGTTAGCTATCTGGAAGCTAAGGTAACATCTTAATTCATATTCAAAATTTTTCGCAAGTTAATTAGCCCATTTTCAATCTACACAGTGAGAGTAGGTGAGATTCTACAACAGTTTCCTTTTAGAAACCAAAATTATTCAAATAACAAAAACAAGCATACATTTGTAGACAGGACTCCAGGTGAACATAGACAAGACGGAGGTTATGAAAATAGCCAACCAACAACAACAGAAGTAACATCCAGTGCAAATCACCATCAACGGGAGGGATGTGAAAGAGGTTACTTCATTCACTTATCTAGGGAGGGAGCATTGTCTCAACTACAGACACATGGAACGGACGAGGATGTCAAATCGAGAATCAGGAAGGCGAGAAACACATTCATCAACCTGAAACCAATCTAGAAATCTTCGTCACTCCTCAACATCAACAACAAAATTCCGATTTTCAATACAAACGTCAAGTCACTTCTTCTATACGGATGGATCAGAAACTTAGTGGCGGGTCACAAAGAATGAGCATTTCCAACAGCCTGTTGCAGACCTCTATTAACAACTAACTGTCTTCGCTGGCTCTATACTGAAGATCAGATGGCAGGAAAGAACAACAATCAACAAGAAACTATGGGAACAAACAAACAAAACAAGAACCAATCGCTCAACAAATATGCAGGAGAAAGTGGAGATGGATTGGACAATCGCTGAGGAGGCCGCTGGGTGACATCGCGCGTCAGGCCAACGCTCGAGTGGAAGCGGAAAGGGAAGTGGCGAGTGGGACGTCGGTGCAAGGTTGACATGGAGGAGATCGTGTGATGAGGAACTGAAACAGTATGGATTAACATGGATGCAGGTGAAAAGTATAGCAGAAGACAGAAGCAAGTGGAGACGTGTAGTTGAAGCCCTATGTTTCAATAGGAACCCAAGATAGCAATAATATAACACATTTGTAGTGCCATGTGCTTATTTGTTTTCCTGATTACTATTTTTCTGATATCCAGTGAATCATACATATATTGTGATCTGAACTGCGATGAAGAAATTTCGTCTACTCAAACTGTGTAAATTACAAACTACTGACCAATTAGCAAATTGAGAATTTGATTTGTCTTATTTTGTAACTCGTCTGTACTTCAGTGAGTGATACTATTCCCCTAGCAATATTCAAGTCCAGAAGCACTAGCTTTGATGGCCACTGCGTTATTTATTTATCAGGCTACTGGTGACAAATCGTAGGCGACGGTCATCAGTTATCCTCAGCTAAAAAAGTATTTTGAGACTAAAAAACCGTATGCGGTGTGAATTGATGTCAGTAATTCCATGCTTTTTGTTAAAATACACAAATGTCGTCAATAAGAAATAACTTTTCATTATGGATACGTAACTGTGGAATCTGATGAAGTTATCGAAATAATACATTCTTTGTTCAGTAGTCCCTTTTTTGAAATATTTTAATTCCTTGGGTAAAATTAGCATCAACTTTGGGAAAGGTAAAATATGACATTAAGGAACAAAACCTGGGCAACAGTGTTACGTCCTAGTCTGACACTCTGTGACAGTACGCATCCACCGATCCGGATTTCCAACTACAATGTGAAGTCAGTGCTACTATACGGATCAAAGACTTGCACTGCGCGTCATAAACAGCATCTCAAACAAGCTACAGACCTTCATTAACAGTTGTCCTCGCTCAGTACTTCGCTCAAGATCAGATGGCCGGCCGGCCAGAAAAGATCAGCAACACAGATCTCTGGCAATGAGCGAACCACTTGACCAGGAACCGATTGTGAAACAAATACGCAGGAAGAAATGGAGATGGATTGACTGACCATACTCTGAGGAAACAATGCATCAAGTGACATCACTAGACAAGCCATCGCTCGAGTGGAACGCGAAAGGGAAGCGTTGAGTTGTTCGTCAGTGCAAGGGTAACTTGACGGAGGTCATGTGAAGAGGACATGAGAACGTGTTGGCAGACTTGGAGCCAGGTGAAGACTCTAGCAGAGAACGGAACGCAATGGAGACGCATGGCTGAAGCCGTATGCGCCACTAGGAATTAAAGGAAACAGTAATAATAATCCACCGATGTTCGAATCCATGACCATCGAGTTACATGATCTGTCTTGTACACCATTCAGCCACTGCGAACTGTCAGAATGAACCATGAAAATCAACTTCGGCTAATTCATGATATTTAGCGCAACACTATCAGCCAATGTCATCGGATAGTGTAACTGTTCTCTTGACTAACACTGATGATCAAACTTGTGACCAATGAAATCTTTGTAAACCAACACGTGACACAAAAATGGTTATTGTCCAATTTCTAATAGGGTTTTTCGAAATAATTCAGAAAAGTTGTGTAGCTCATATTGGTGGCTTTGATATTGTAGGTGTGTCGGTCGGTGGCACAGCGAGCGAATGCTCGCTAACCACGCAGGTGGTTCAGGGTTCGATTCTCGGCCACAGACAGACACACTCCTTCACCTCACTAAGCCAGAAATAAAAGCTGGTATAAGGCAAAGGTTAGGCATGAGGCAGGCTAGCAACCTCATTCTGTAAAAAATAAACACCACTGCTACCGAAACTTTATGCCTCTAGCTTGAAGCCTTATGTTCCGATAGGAACATAAAGAAATACGGGTGAAGTTAAACAATAGCGTCCCAGGAGTGCGAACGGTTCAGTGACCTTGAACGCGTGCAAGTCATTGGCTTAGGATGCCTGTCATTACTATAGCGCAAATATGTACTTTTTTTACCAACTAAGGAGTAAATTTCACCCAGATCACATTTTTAAGTACTGTTTGCACAATGTGTTAATTACTCATTAGGATTAGGGTTAAGGTAGGTATTAGGGTAAGGGTAAGCATCAAGGTTATAATTAGGATTAGGATTAAGATTTGGGTTACGATTATGGATAGATTTAGAGTTGATATTATTTCATTTGTTTTATTATCCACATTTCGCCAGTAAGTAGTCGTCGATTCTCTTACTGGCAACCATAGTAATTCAACCGAAGGCTTTCGGGTAAGACTGCAAAACAGGATAAGAGTGATGAACGGATCAGAGAAAAAAGCTCACTTTAAGTCACCTTGGTGAATACGTGTGCAGAAACTGGTTTAACTTAAACACTGATATTCCTCATTATGATTGGGAGCTATTTTTAAGTCATGTCAGAGAAAGATACTCTGTTGAATGTATTTTAATTCATTTCCTTTTAATTAAAGGTCATTTTTTGTGCAAGAGTCACCTATTCTTAAGGTTAGCAGGTTCAAGGGCACTCGTGCATTCGCATCCCATGGGCTGCTGTTGTTTAACTTTGCCGGAATAAGATAATTTATAAGAAATAATGTTGTGTGTTATGCGTTGAAATAGGTAGTTTAATTCCAGACCTTTCTTTATTCGTCTAGACAGCATTTTCAGCGCTGAAATTACACCGAAATCCACAATGGAGGTGTTATTTAAGAAGATTACTGGTGTGGTATTTCCTTTTTGAAAAAAGTGACAGGAATTAAAGAATCCAGTTTTCTACAAGTTTATAAATGAATACAACATAGATAAATTTAATTTTTTTATTTCATGAATAATTCCCATTCGGACATTAGTAGACAAAAGACAAGTAGTTCAGCAAAGAGTCTCTTTTCGGTGAATTCATTTTCAAAGCTGTACAATCGCAAATATATATGGTTATTTTGTGTGTGTGTGTGTATACATCAAATTTGTCAAACGAAAATACGGTTAGTAAGTTCAAATGAATTGGATGTTGATAAGAGGATAGCAACAAAAGTGATGAGTTGTCAAAGACGATTGTTAAAGAGGAGTAAGTTTAGGTGAATTGGATGTTGATAAGAGGATAGCAACAAAAGTGATGAGTTGTCAAAAACGATTGTTAAATAAGAGTTACGCAATGGCATGAATAGTTTGATGAATGAGGTGCCCTCAAAGGGTGTACATGGAAACAAAATAATATACAGAATTACACAAGGGTTTTAAGTTAGAAAAATAAGTATACAAACAGAAGTAAGGCCAAATCAAACAAACAAAGAAGAGTTGGGTCAAATCAACGGAGTTGTTACCATGTGAGTAGAAGTGGTTGGATGATTTTCTTTTGTATGCATAGTTCTGGTTCCACCAACTGGATGGCTAGGGCGTCTGCGATGCAAAGAAGACGGAATCGTACTGTCTTTGGGAGGTTGTTCTTCACTTTGTAGATCACTTTGAAGGAGGCGTTCGTTGAGATGGAATGACCAGTGTTGACGAGATGTTCGATTATTGCACTCCTCATATGGCCATTATTTCCTTTCTGTAGCCACACTGGGTAGTGTTCTTCGACCCTTTTTGACAGAATGCGCGTTGAACGACCGATGTACCTGGCTCCACAGCAACAGGTGAACTGATATATACACATAGAAGTGGTCATGTGCGGAATCTTGTCCTTTGGGTTTCTGCAGATCAGCGGGCGACTGGAGAACACTATTCTTAGTGTTGCCGCAAGGAAATGTTTTTTAGTTTCTACCATTCGTTTCATACATGTAATCCAATTTTTTATTATATATGATAATTTTCTTTTTTGTTTTGTATTTCTAGTATATCGTTATGGCTTAGAGTTTTGGAGTTTCCCAAAAGATTATTCACCTACCAATGATCACTCAATGAATTCTGTTAATAATAACAATAACCATGATCAGCAACAACCTGAACAGTTAATTATTATCTCAGCATTAGCTAAAACTGACTATCATAATCTACTGACCGACTTATTTGAAGTAATCTGTGAAGCAAATCATGTTGATATGGTGTTGAACAGTTAGTTAATAATATGTGAATTCGTCGACTCCTTCTCTTTCTCTTCTTCTATATGTGATTGATTATATGATGGAAGAAGAATCCAATTGGTTTCTTTCATTTGCTGTGTGTGTTTCTCTTTTTTCCTGCCTTACACATTGAATTCTGCATCACCACAATCATCATCATCACTGTCACCATCTTCTTCTACTTCTTCTGTAGATTTCATTGAATTCGCTGTACTGTCAAATCAATACACTAATGCACACGCACGCACACGCACACTGACACAGACACATAGAGACACATGCATTCCATATTCTTGAGTGATGATGACCCCTGCTTCACATTATTTTATTTTTCATTTTCATTCTACTCTTTTGTGTTCTGAGTGAGAACAACACCATACATAGGGCTTCAAGATTTTAGCCGGGGTTCTCATTGTTATTGTACGGGGTGAGGTTGATAGCCCCCCACCCACACACACACGTCAGTTGGGGGGGTGTAGAGCTCCCTGGACCGTGTGAATGATTGGCGAGTATTTTCCCACTGTGAACCACCGACCACCTACACACACACCTGCTTTATATAGCTAGTGCTATTTCAATGGTATTATATAGGTATTATTATTATTATTATCTTTCGATATGCTCCTTCTAGTGGAACTAGATTAGGCGTAGGCGTACAGAAACGTATGCATATTGAATAGTATGAATTTATACAATATATATGTGATACAAACGAGAACGCCTGTTCTACATTACAACGTTTTCCAGTTATATTGACTTCGGTTAATCGGCGAAGCAGCAATAGTGTATTTATTCACTCTTAAAATGCACAATTACACGTTGATTCGTTCCCCCCCAGCCATTTGTAGTACAACTTTCCAATTTTTCCAGTCAATTTTCTTGTCAGTATTTATTATAAGCAGAAACAGATTCTAGAATATATTTTCCCATTTAATGGATAGACAAATATAACAGCATCTTCGATAGGCAGTTTTGACAAGCCAGTCGACTAGATTACGTAATACACATAGGGGTTATCGTTTATTAAACTTATATTTTTTTGTTTTTCCTTCCATTGTTATTTGTTGTTTTTTGAAAAATTAAGAAAATATTTAAGATTTCTAAAATACTATTCATCAAGCAGACTTACTGACTGTCTTACTCATATTCAGGTTCTCCTCATGTGCTGTGATTGAATCTCTTGTGTGTGTATTTCATTGTCTGATATATCCATATATCTGCATTTATGTGTGGGTATATCAGCTGTGAGTGTGTTTCTCCTCCCCTCTGGTTCTCCCTCCTTATTAAGCTCATTCGATTCATTCACATTCACATTCTGTATGTTATTTCTAGACATTTTGTATGGATGTACAATTGGTAATTTATGTATACTGAATTAGATTTTTCTAGGCAAAAGTAAGTGATCAGAAGTAATTAGTCTTTGAACAACACCAAATTAAGTCATCATTGCATGCCTTGGAGCATCCTCTGAGGTTACGTCACAATTTCCTCTCTCTCTCCCCTTTTCCTCTTCTTTTCTTTTCTTCTCTTTGTATGATTTTTCCATCAATTTCTATCAATTTCTTAGGACAGTTTTATACTTTCTTCAGCGTGATTAAATCATCTTGTATATTCAACTTTACAGCCGCGACCCACATTGCTCCTACTTCCCTAAGTCTATTCATCTTCACATAGCTAGAGGACATTAAATTAGGATGACAGTTGTAAGATAGGTTGATCACTTTTTCTCTTTAGAAAGAGAGACAAATTTCTTGAAAAAGAAAACTTACAATTATATCAAATAAATGTATATTGTTCTAATTTTTTTTGTTTTGTTGGAAAAACTTATTTTCTTTCAGTAATGTGTAAAGACTGTTTATTTTTCAATCAGTTTTTTTGATTTACCCGTTCATTGGTTGTTGACGCATCGACATTTTATAGTATGGACGCCTCGATGAGTTCTACGGATTAATAGGAAGTTATTTTGGTGGATGGTGAGTGGGAGTAGAATCTAGGATGCATATTTCATCCTATTTGGTCTATGAGTTCACTTTGTCACTGGAAATTCCTGAGTTTGAACCTAGGTGCGTCAATGTAGCTAAAGAGTCCAAAATAGGGACGAAACAGTTATCTAGTACTTTCTGGTTTTCTGACGGTACTCTAATGATGTCAACTGGTGATCAAACTCGTGTAAGCAGTTGAACCCCTGCTAAGCAAACATTTGGAAATATCATAAAGTAAAAGAAAATTTATGACCAAGGAAACACCGGAGGTTTTAATTATTTCATTAGATTTACTGAAGCCTGCAGCAAACTTATTTTGTACACAAAGACTACGATTGTTTTCTTGAGTAATCATAGCCTGGGTTATGTGTGTATAAAACGAGTTAGAATTCTGTTCGAAAGGTTCGATGGAATGCAAAAGATTTGAAATTTTAAGATACTTTAATATGGTAATATCTGACAAGAAGTACCAGTCAACAGCATAATTGTCCTAACTTATAAAACACAAAATATTTCAGCGAAGAATATGCTTTTCGATAATTTCCTCTTCTGGCTCTACAATTATATATGCATGTTTATATACATAGAATATTTTCAATTAGTAGTTAATAACAATATTAGCGTTTTTTAAATAATATCGATTTGTAAAGTAAGATCACAATGGAATTACAGTTCATTAAAGATGCTTAAATTATAATAATAATAATATAAGGTATAATAGCGAATAGAATATCAACTAAAATTAGGGAAATTCCACAAATATTCCGGATTATTCAAACCTTGATGGCCAAGGTAATGATAATGACTGAACTAACTACTTTTGGATGCATATATTAGGCTTGTAAATATGGATCCCCAAAGCCTCAGCAATATTTAGAAGTCGAACTCTTAAGGCGAATTGAGGTTGGTATGTTTATGGTAAATTACCTTGAAAGCATCTTTAACGTCAATCTTGTGTTCTATCTCCACAATATGAGACAGAATAGCGCTGCGAATAGATTTTGTTTGTCCTTTGCTTAACCACCATGCAGGGTGATGTTCGGAAATTCGACGAGAAACACGCCTAATTGTACGGCCTATGTAACTGGCTCACTCCACAGGAGCAGTTAAATTGGTTTATACACATGGAAGAGGCGAAATTAAGCAGTTTGTCTTTTATTCTCGAACGCAGAAAAGGAGTGGTCTTAAAGATTTTATTGTCGCTCATAGTGATTAATAGAAGGTTTATCTACATTCTTAAAGCTAGATTTATTGAATGAACTTGGCTACCTTCAGGAATGGAGATACCTACTGAGTTTTTTATTTCAAATTTCAAGTCACCTATTGGAGATGCAGACACATCTTTCTGAAGAACCCTAGACACGACGAAAAACACCCTCTCATTTTCACTGCTATTAACGATCATTAAACAAGCGAAACAGTGCAGATATTTCATGCCTAATGATTTTAAACGAGTAAGAAATCTAAGTCTAGAACGCATTCTTGTCGATGTATTTATTCTAACATTAAGGGAGGGACTAACATCATAAATTAGAATAGACAATATGAGTTCAGTACATTGTGTAAATCTTGGACATTGTGATAGTATTTAATTCAATATCAATTCGTATAAAAGAGCGAAAATACCCATTGAGTGATGAAGGAAATATAAAGACGATTCAGCTTAGAGAATTCTCTCTCTGTCAACAAGATCATCTTCAGAGGCTGTACAGTTATATTTATCTTCAAGAGTTCGTGTCTAGGCAAAAAATGTATAGTAGTCCATTGTTGATTAATATGGGGGTTACGTAACTCATATAATTGCTCAGAAGTAGCTTCTAAAGTAAAATTTAAAAAATGTTTAGAAATATTATGTAATAGTCAGTGACTTAATGGAAGACAGGGTTTGAGATTCGATAAGATTGGAATTGTTATTGGATGAGAAGTAAGTTGGTTTAGTGTCAACTTGACAAGTCTGAAGAGGGTGAGAAAATGTATAAAATAAATATACAAGAATGGTAATAGTGAATTAATTAGTAAAAACAGAAATAAAAGCGGTCGATTAGGAGCGAGATTAAGATCACAGTTGAATGAGAGACTGGACAAACTCTTTGCGTACACAGAGCTCTAGGTTATATAGACGAGTCACCAGTGCCTTCACCAAACGTGATTACTGAAACCTTACACACATGGTACCACTCAGCCTCACCATGTGGATAATCTTAAAAATGACTCTTGTTTAGCCTGAGTTTACCAAGTGCTGAAGAAGCGAGCTAGTAATTGTCTCACAGTGTCCTCTTGCTAACCACGCCGGGTAAATATATAAAATCCAATAGAAGCAAATGAATTTACAGACGCACACTGAAGTGGTCCAAAGCAACAAACTGTCCTTCTGAATCACTGCTGCTATGTCACCATTAAATTCAAAGTTTATGAATAACAGTTTCTTTGGCGTCACTTGAATTCTTTCAAGCTTCTGTTTCAACTTTTTTTTTCAGTAGATCTAATAGGACATCCATTTTCAATGAAGACTTTTCTGATTCCCTCCAATTCAATATCGATTTAATCATTGGTGTTTATTGTTATTTTTGAAGATATTAAGTGAATCAGATTTCCCTTTTCCAAATGGACCCAGTTATGAAAATTCGTAAACTGATAATTCCTTGTCGGTTTCCTGTTTCAATAGAGGAAGAAAGTCCAGATTTGCAGTATAAAATGATATCATCATTCTATTTCACAGGTTCTCATCAGCTGCAAACTACCTGAAATTACAATGGTTATAAATAATAACATTTCATACTTCATTGTTTGAAAGATAATAGAGAAAACATTATAAGATGAACGCATCTGGAATATAAGGATTAAAATTTTATAGTTTAAGTTACCATCAATTTATATACTATCAAACTATGAAAAAAGGAAACAAGGGGGGGGGGTGAGAGAAGACAGAAAACAGAAAAATCTAATAAACAGTGTCAAAATGGCAACTCAATAAGGTCAAAGTTCATCAATTTGAAAACTTGCTTAGTGAGTTGAGCTCACTAGTGTGTATGAGTAATCAGTGTAATGAAAGTGATATGGTTACCAAGAGAGTGAGAGATTGACTACACTCTCTTTCTGTGTGCATAAGTTTGGTCTGAGACGTTTGATTGCAATTGCTTCAGCAAGTCTTAGTGGATTCGCTGTCCTTGGTACGTTTAATATTTTGAAGGATTTGGAAATCTCGACAAAATGGCCCGTATCCACAAGGTGTCTGGTAATCGCACTTTGTAAATATTTGCTTCCTTTTAAGCATAAGTTTCTCGGAATATGCTCTGAAAACCGGATAGAAGCCCTT